ATGGAAATGGTCATCACTAACTAACTGAGAGCTGGTTCCCGGACCTGCTGGGGGTGGGCCTCATCTCGCCTTTGTACAGTATTTCATTTACAATGCGATCCTGGCATGTCAGTGGCCAATCTTCTGGCGCAAAACCACCACAGGTGACACCTTTCGTGAGCTGGGGCACACCTTTGCCGCAAAGCTGAGGCATGTGGAACCGTCGCATGGCAAGAGCACAAGAATCATGCCATTGAGCCAAGATACATTTCAGCGCAATACTGTCCCAGAACGTGCCGAAGCCACAGATGCACTCATGAAGAGCCTCTCAGAGGGCAACCAGGGCTTTCCCTCGCTACTTAGCTAGCACTTGGGTGTGGCAATCTGGCCTGGACCACCACGCCGGACTTGTTCACAAGCTCTACATGCGGGCGGGAGAGGCCGTCTGCCTTGTCCCCGAAAGGGGCGATGGCTTCCTGAGACAAGGCGCAGCCCCCGGGCCCGCGGGGCAAAGGAGTCTCATTGACTCGATTTCGGTTAGTGCAAGTTGGGAGGCCACATCTCGCAGCTTTTCAGGCTCATCGCCAGCTCGGCGAACTAGAACAGCCTCCACCCTGAGGCCCAGCAATGCCTCACAGTGGACAGCACGAATGCTGTCACAAACGTCGACCAATACTTTGCTGACTAGCCACGAAGCTCCAGGCGCACAAGGTCATCATGACCGCTCCCTGCATTGTTGACCTTGGCAACAGCGCAAAACCTGTGTGCGAAGAGCTTGGGAATTTCATCTTGCACACACACACACACGACAACAGATTCTGTGCTTTCAGCCGACGGAGATTGCAAGTTGGCAAGCACTCGGGAGCCAACAGAATTCAAGAGGCTCAGCCCCGCGAGGAGTTGTCTGAGCCACTTAAATGTCTTCGGTCGCAAAGGCATGGCTCGGATGAATATATTAGGGTCTTAAGACCCAGAATATAGTGCTTAAGGTTTCATGGGTTTTCACTGGGGCCGGGACATGGATATGTGAGCTGATCAAGTCTATGATAGGGACCTAGCTTCAAATTCGTGCTAAAGCAGCTCTCGCAGCAGGGCCCGCACACTGGATGTGGCCAACTTCACCTTCTCAGGCTACAGGATCTGTCGGCTGGTCCGACGGCCTATCTGCATTGTTGCTGCTACTGCAGACGCGCCTGCAATAAGGATGAGGATGAAGATGATGATGAGGATGAGGATGCGAATGAGGATGATTATGATGATGAGGAGGAGGAAGCGGACGAGGAGGAAGAAGAGGAGGATGCAGATTTTGCCACGGCATCCTGTCACTATGGCCAGTACGATATATATATATATATCGACGACCGTAGCTACAGAGCCTGTTGCGGCTAGACTGCTCTACTATGACCATGGCGACTGTTGTGAAGATCGAGACTACAACTCCGAATTAGCAGTTTGACTCTTATGACTAAACAATCATGACCGCTGCATTTGCTACGATTGCTGTTGATACGCTTACTACTGCGACTCCTTCTGCAACAAGCGCTGTTGCTGCTTCTGGTGCTGCTGTTCCTACTAATCCTACGAGTTTTGCTGCATTGCCTTTCAGGCGAGTACGAGCTAGCATCCCGAGGACCAGCGTAAGGCCATAGATTCCCCTCTGCTACGCGTCGGCATGCAAATCGGACCACATCGCACTCCTACCAAATTCTTTGCTTGGTGGAAGGTTCCGTGGGTGGCGCCCTAGGGCGGCCGCGGCACCTTCCGAACCAAGTTCGCCTGGAAGGGTGTAAGCCGAGGTCCTTATGAAGTCGTGCGCACATCCCAGCGGATCTCCGAAGAACTCTTATATCGTCTCCTTTACATGGTCTTACGACAAGTATGACTCATTGCAGGCTATGCATATTCATAGAGATGTGGGTTTACGATTGCCCGTGTAGATCAATCACTGCTGAGTTGCAGTAGAGCCACTGTTAAGCCACTAAGCTAAAACTCGGAAATACAACTGGTCCCTGCCATGCCTTAAGCGTGTCGAAAGGAAAGGACGCGCATCGGCCCACGAGCCTCAGCGTTGCTTACTAGGTTGGGGACTGAACTAGCCCAAGAAGAAGCCCCACACACTGCAGATGCGAGCTCACGCACATGCGATTCTCAGCCCGACACCCTCCCAGACCCCCGGTGATCCCTTCGGCAAGCAGCTCCCGACCATGCATGGCGGCACTGGACAGCAACTTCCGGGCACCGATTGCTGAAAGAGCCTTAGTAATTTAGTTGCGCGAGCTTCTTGCAACTGGCATTAACGATGACTTTGCGAGGATAGACGACGAGCAGACATTTTCTGTGACCCTTTATACTATTTGCTGCTGCGACCAAACTGTTACATGTGTGGCAAGTGGGAATCAGTGCTGCGACTGTCACGCTCATGTACATTCAAGACTGTTACATGGTTGCTTGAGCACAAGATCTTGGAGCACAGAAAGCTTCGGTCTTGAAGCATCTTGGGTCGCCTACCACAAGCCACAGAAGCTTAGGATCTTCTCCGAAATCCTCGTGCAGTCAGAAGTGACCTGTTTTGCACCCGCAATGGGGCAGGACCACGTCAGACCGTCACGGCAGGTTCAAGGGGCCGTGGCAGCAGCGGTGTGCACTTCCTTTGCTGCAGCACCATACGTCCAGGCCCAACTTTATTTTGAAGCGCTTCCCGACTCAAGCAAACCACATCAAACCACGACTGACGCTGTTGAGCTCACTGCGATCATGTGTGAGAAGCGAACTGATTGAGGTGACGCGGGCTGGGAAATCACAAAGCCAAGGACTCAGACAAAAAAAAATGTATCAAGCTTCAGCCCAGGGACTGCTTGAGGATGAATGGCGCGGCAATGACCAGCGGCTGCCCTGAAGAGCTGCCACCTGCTTTCACACACAGAGAAGGGGCTCGTGGAGCTTCGGGAGGGAGAGCCCTTCATGTATTACTTCGATGGTGTAAGGATCAGGATGAGCGCTGAGAAAACCATCGAAAGATGTTAGGACAGGGCTTGGAACAGGCCCCCCAAGTACCGGAGCCCTTAGAAAGATTGCGCACTCGTCTTCATACGAAAACTTCTCAGCTCTGCATGGCAATCGAAGCGAAGACTTCTCGATATATGCAGCCCATCGCTCTATAGGGGCTTAGGTGCTTCTTTACGGGACCTTTACTTCTGTCATCCAGCGTTTCAGGCTTCGGGCCTCGAATTCCGAAGGACCCCATCTTCGTCAACGGGTGCGCCTCCTCATACTTGGCCTTGTATGTAGTCTTTGAAGGGATTCCAGCTCACTCAGCTGATCCCGACATCACGTCTTCCATCACTCTGGCATCTGACAGTCCTTGCTAAAAGTTTGCCATCGTCAAGATTTCCAGATCATCGGGACCACCTGCATAGGCTTTGCCTCTGCTTCGGCCTAGCATGTGTCAGATGTTCATCTTTCTCGAGCAGGTGCCGGTGCAGCCGCTACGAACATCCGCAGGGAACGTGCGGAGCTCGACCCATCGTCAGCTTGCCGAGTCTTTCTTCGCTGCGTCCGCAAGCGCGCCCAGGCCCAGGCCAGCCTTGCCAAGTGGCAAGAGGTCCTTGGGATTGCCTATTGCACCGGTGCTGAGACCCTAGCATCGCAGAATCCACCATCCGAAGTTCTAAGCATGATTTGCGGCGGTGTCGAAACAAGAAGGCGGTTGGATGCGCACAAACACTGTGTCTGATCATAGTATGCAGCCGAATGTGCAAAGGCCATGGAGTCGTCGCTGCTCCCTTCTTTCATCCACAGAGTTGGCATCTCACCGTTTCGCACCTCACACCAACTCCGAGTAATGTTAGCCAATGTCTGGAGCGCTTGCTGTCCAAACGAACCGATGTGCCGTCAAGGGGCCGCGAGATGCACTCCCTTCTCGTTCAGCAGCTCACCTGGCTCCGCCGACAGCATCCTTTAAGTCGCCATGTGCTCACTTCGCTTGCCAGCAAAAAACACCCAAACATCGCAGATCCACACAAATCCTATTCAGAGCCAGCCATGTCACTACCATGAGCAGAGTGTGAAGCCGCTTCGACCCTGCAAGAAGCTCCTGCTGTGACGGCCTCCAGGTCCCGAGAACCAACGAAGTCTCTGTGCTCCCGCCAGCGTGAGCTCCCCCGCCTCGTTGGCCCTCGACACGAGAGCACCAGACCAAGAGTGCCAAGAGCTTGCAGGATCATGGGTGGACAGGCGGGTTCTGCAGCCGCAAGGCGAAACCGCGAGACCGCAAGACAGGTGGATGAGTTCCCCGGTCCTTGGACGAGCTGCGAGAAGACACACTCCCCTGCCTGGTCTGTGTCTCCTCAGCTCCCAACACATCGAGGAAAAAGAGCAGAAGCGGACGCTCGCGCTTGGAGCTGGTCACGGTCAGATGAGCCTTTGCAGGCAGCCGAACATACTCACAAAAGAGACCAGGAGTCTACGAATCTTCCCGCAAACGCATGGAAAGCAGCTCCGGGAGCCTCCACATCTGCAGCCTGCCAGGCAATACAAACACCACGTCGGCGACCCTATCCGACTGTGGCCTGCTGAAACAGTCCGTCTGAACTGCTTTGACGATGCGACTCCATATTGTAAGTTTTACAAGCAGAAGGGAGCAGGATGAAGGGCTGCAGTGCCCGGAGAGGGTGGAGTCTCTCACTACTTCTTTGCGCAACTTCCGGCGGGTGGGCAGGCATACGTCCCTAAATCATACGTGATGCTGGAATGAACAGAATTCTCAGCATCCTGTGTGTCAGTGTAGGCATATGGCACGGGCATCGCGACATGAAGGGGTGAACTGGCTTGCAAGACGACCGTACTGGGGGGCTCAGTAGTGAGATCAGGAAGCTCTTCAATTTGGCAACCCAGCGTATATACTTGGAGCTGAGCCACGGCAACAGTCCAGAAGTCTCCATGAGATTCGAGTGGCCTACCAGGTCCACAGTGCAGGACAATGTAGGACCCTTGACATGGCATAGGCATCTTAACAATGACCTTTCCTGGTTCTGGTCGGTGTGCCCAGCTTCGCCCGCCAGTACCGTGGCCGCGGCTCGCGGGAAGCCACAAAGACGAATCTCAGGCCTGAGCTGAAAGGCTGAGACCAGGCGATCAGGACGGGAGCTTGTCGAAGCGCTCGGCTCTGCGCGCCATGCCGAACAATCATGCAGCAGTGATCCGGGCACAGGAGGAATTCCAGACAGCTCCGTCACGGCCTCGAGCACTGGCCAGCCAGTCATAACGTAAGAGAAGCCGACGACACATTGAGCTGAGAAGCACAATGGCCCTGTGTCCAGGAAGCGGGCGCCAGGGCTTCGAGAGCAGCTTGGTGGCTGCAAAGAACCAGTGCGGGCACCGCTGGGTCCGAGATGCTTACCAAGCCTCCGGCTGACAGAAAGTGCGCGACACGAAAGGAGAGACACAGGTGTGAAGTGAGGCCTGCATACGTCTCTCTGTACCGCCGCACGGCCATTTCCCACGTCTCCTGAAGTACAGGACGGATCTATTTTGCCAGAGACTTCTTCTGCATGCGTGGGACAGGAAACCGCCGTCCTCCTCTAGCGGTTCAGCCCAAACAGGGCCCAAGTGCCGCACCTCCAGGCCCAACTCCGGCAGCGGTACCTCGTATCAGCACATTCACGAGACCCTTCCTGCTTCTTTCGTCCTTCCGCCAGCGCGCTTGCACAGGCAGTCTCGTTTCGCTCCAATCGGCCAGCCCAGGCTCCACATAGAGTGCAGCCTGCACGCCACACTCCGCCACACCCCAGAAGTGCACACCTTCTGCTTCTCATCCGCCTGCAGTGCTTCGGCGATGGGCCTGGCCGTCTGCAGGCAGCGACGGGCTGGGGAGGAGACCACTGCCGCACTCAGAGGCCTGAGAAAGCAGGACTCACATCGTGGCACTGGTGTGCTGTGATCTCGTCTGAGCACGGAACCCCAGCAGTGTTTTGAGAGCGGCCGCTGTGCAGCGCGCCTGCAGAAAGAGCGCGTGCCTTTGAGGTTTCGCTCGGGCCGCTCGGCCGACAGCAGCCTGGAAGAGTCCGGCGACGGTGAGCGGAGCCTCTGGAAAGCCTCAGAACGCTGCAACCAGTGCACTCGGCCGACAGCCGCTTTCTGCCCAGGGGCCCCGGCCATCCTCGGGTGGAGGAGGCAGCCCCGGGCCATCCGAGCGCTCCCCGTGGCCTCGGCTCGGGCCGACACAGCGGGACCCAACTTCCCAAAATCATCGGCGCAAATTTCGTGCGCGAATTTTTCAACTCCAGCTTGAAATTCGAATTCGCTGCCCCGCTGCGGACGATGAAAATGCGGCGGGACATCGGCAGCGGCTGGAGCCAAGCGGCTGACGATGAACAGCGGTGAGACCTCACCTGCGGCCAAGTGTAGACAGGTGCACTCGCCTGCTTCTCGGGATCTTTTGACGAGCTTAGCTCTGACAAGTCGCTGTGTTGCCGTGCGGCAAGCGCCCCTTGGGGTGCAGCAACCGTGTCAGAAGCCAAAAGACTTGGAGTGATCGCTCGGGTGGCGCCTTCCTTAAGTCCTTTGGGGCTCAGTGAGCGACGGCGCATGCAAAGATGAGTTCGTTTTAAATCTCATGCTTTGGATGGCCAGCACATTTAGGGAATCTACGGCTGTAACAAAAAACACTCTGGCTCCTGTAGCTTCAAAACACAGAGGAGCTCAACGGCACTGGCAGCCCGGCAAGTTTGCTTTGGCATCAGTCTGAGAAGCGGTAGCAAGTTGCGGCAAGTTGGGGCAACTGTGTCACTTGGGGCCTTTGTGCGGCCCATATTAGACCTGGATCTTGACTGGTGCCGTGTAGGGCTAGTTAAATGCCGGAGTCCACTTGCAACAATTCTGCGAGCAGGCCAGACTGCATCTGCGGCGGGGGAAGCTTGCATCACAACATTCACAACTCCTCCCACCGCGCAGCCACTATACAACGCCATGAGCCCACAGGCACGAAGTGGGGAAATCTTCTGAGATCTCCATCCTTCAAGGAAGAACAATGCTGGGCTGGTCGACGGCCTCCATCGAGCCGTGGCCATGCTCCTGATACGCCAGACCTTGCATTCTTCAAGACTGGCACGGGAAGAGACTTCCAAGCCACATCCTGCACTCACCCCTTTTGGCCAAGCAGCAGGTGAAGTTCGCCAGCGCAATACTCGCACCGACATGACGTTTCCAGATCTCGCATCGGCCCAAACCTGACCGAAGAAACCTCTAAGGCGGAAGAGGAAAGAAGAGCCCTTTCACCAGTAACACAGAGCAAAACCCCAGTGTATGTAGGCTTCATCATGAAACGTCAGCCCTCCCAAAATCACTGATGCACCGTCACTATGCGCCTCCTGTTAGCTATGCCATCCACTTTCACAACTCTGTGGCCGCCGGCTGAATTCGATCCCGTAGCAGACCAGCGCTGCAGAACAAGCGGCCTTGCATTCCTGGCAGTGGCGGTGCAAATCACAAGCTTTCAAAATCAATGCAGGCATTGAGACCGGGGCCCGTACCTCTAAGGTCTCAGCCACGACCACGTCGTAAAAGCTCTGGCTGTTCTCGGTCGGAAAATCTCCTCGACAGGCTCGCCCAAATCCACCATCCACCTTTGCATCTTGGCACATGACCAAGCATGAAGTACGTCTTTCACGAAGCTTTCTTCAGCTGGTCATATGAATACTTCCAGAGCAATCCGAAACCCTTCACCTGACGGGACCATCTCTGTGCTCCCTGTGTGGCTACAAGTAGTATGAACGTCAGGCCCAGGAGCTGGTAGCAAGCGTTGCGTCGGCCAGCCGAAGCGCATGCAGGTAAACTCGCTAATGTTCAACTCGGCCCAAGCAAAAATCCCGTGGGGCCGTGTCCAGATCTCGCAGCGCCCATAGCTGAACTCGATGCCTGCCAGTATCCACCACAAACGTCACACCATTCATTGGTCGCACCAAGACCCCAATCTTGGAAACATGCAATCTGGATCAACAAAAACGTAACAAGCCAGCCTTTGAAACTCGGGAGCTGTTCCACACACTTCGACTGGCATGCCTTCCGACATGAGGCATGCCATCTGCGGGGTGACACACTCGCACCGTCCCAGTGACCTCCAACTCTGTGACGCCATCATGCACTTCGTAGTAAGTGTCATTGTTGTCGTTGCTGTTCCTTGCCACTGAGGCTACAACGGAAGCCGAAAGCATATGTCAGAATTTGCAATCTCGGCGTTGCGGCTCTCAGGCGCAGATAACTCGATCTAAACGGCATTACGTCATCGCTAGGAAGACAGGATACTCGAAGCTTGATAAGCTCACAGTGCTGCTAGGTGCGGGTGCTCTCGTAGAAATCAGAAACATACCCTATAGCCGCCTTTGCAACATAACTCAACGCCGGACCGCATACCACGACAGGCGGACTTCCCAGGATCACCGACATGCTCCCAGACAGCAGCAGTCGGCGCAGGTGTGGATGTGCTGGAGGGCTCCTCTTCACATCAGCTGCACATGCATTTCGACAGGTCCGACGCACCGCTGTCGTTTTTGTTGCTTTGTATCTGTCATGCACTCGCAGACGAATGTAACTCAAAGCGCATGATTGGCAAGCGACAAGGACGTGTAAGCGCAGCACACCGTGAAGAAACTGTGCGCAAGCTACATGTTCTCCTGGGGGGGTCATGCGAATGTTCAGTAAGACTTTGCTTCCTGGGCCATACTCACTTCGACTGTGCCCACAAACGGCTTGCCCGGGATTGCACCCCGCAACTTGCAACCATAAAGGTTGCAACATAATCCAGAGCCGTGTCCTGGGTCGATGCACCTGTCACATCGAGGCTGCGCATGTGCTCAAGCACTACATGAAGCAACACTCTTTCAGATTCCATCCATCTGCGACGCAGGTACCTCCAGGAGCCATCTTTTCACAGGTTTTGCAGAGCGTCCGATCTTCCGGATAGACATCTTGGCTGGAAGAAACTGGTAAGCGAGGGGACTGCAATATGGGTGGGAACGCAGTTGGGCATTGTCACCGTGGAAGGGTCACCGGAGGAGATGGGGCTTCGGGGTGTTTGGAAGAATCTGTTGCGAACCATCAGAATAGCACTACACTGAGTATGCATGCACAACATCTGCCACGATCCTTTGTCATCCCCTCGTCTAGATACACCTGGATACTTAAAGCTCATGAGACTTCATTATGCTGAACTTCTAAACTTGTCAACACAGAAAAGATACAGTCTGCAAGCAGGTGACCTAGATACTGTCGCCGGCAAAGGTCCGACCTGTAGATGATTTCACCTTGCCAGCGCAAAAGAATCCGATGAATGCAGGCAGCGGCATGAAGAGCAGGCAAAACCACGCCCACACTCAGACGTCCGTCACGCCACTTGCAGCATACGCCGGGCCCAGTTGGTCGCAGTGGGTTACTCCACACAGCGGCACGGCACTGGAGAGCTCATAGCCCTCCGGACAGCTCAGCTCGTCCTTGCAACCTCTGGCAGCGAACTTCTCTTTGCATTCTTAGGAATCCAAATCCAGGCTTCTGGCAATTGGAGTTGAGAGAGGATGGGCAGTCTGCGTCACTTTCTTGGCAAACGCTGCCCTGAGCTGCCGATCATGCCAAACGACCCACGGGCAAAGGCTGCATTGAATACGAAAACCCTAAGCCGAGACTGAGATCCTGTCAGATGTCGTCGGCGCAGTGATTTCTGGCACCGGCTCTGAACCCACGCACTCACAGCATTCGTATCTGCCAGGGGCACCGAATTTCCTAGTGTCAACTCATGAGAACTCCTCTTGTTCAGCTGGTGCTTTCGCAGAGTATGCCTACAAAATCGACGCACCTCGTGTCAACATCTCCAGGCCAATCCTCACAGTGACCGTTCCACTCTGCAGGCCTGAAGTGGGCACCTGCACAGAAACAAAGGAGCCCTCGGAGCCTCGAACGCGAGGAAACGGGGCCCTGCCTATGTCCGTGCAGACCTTCTCGCTTGCCTCGCATCCGAGACTCTGGCACTCCTCGGGCCGTTGGGTCGATGGCATCCTCTAGCATGTCAAACAGGCAACATCAAAGAAAGCTATTTATAGATTTGAGGTGTGACAGGTGCTGACCCTATTTCCTGCCCTGCAGACACACGAGGATGGGACTTGGTTACAAACCCTGAGGTCTGTTGAAGGGTAGAACAAGATTGGTCTGTTGAAGGGTAGAACAAGATTGGCACAACCCACAGGAACTTGTTGTTAGCTTCGTCACGAGCCGCGAGTTCGTAATCAGCTGGGCAGGAGAGTGTGTACGTGCATATGGCATAGCCTCGCATGCCTCAGCACCGAAAGGCGCCAAAAGGTAGCTGCATTGAACTACATCAAAAGACCTATCGACTGAGAACAGAGCACCACTCCGACGTCCTCACCTTAGTCAAAGCTGACATGGGATCCGGGCACGCGGTGCCAGACTCCAAAAATCTTGCCTGACTGCTGTCGACCCTTTAAGCCCATTTGCGCGAAGGCACTGCCGACATCCCGACTTCCCGGTCGCATCTTCTTCCGAGCGGCTGGAGCGACAGAGAACGTCTCGCTCCATGCCCGCACCAGGAGAAATGCGAAAAGGATGCCATCTCTGACCTGCACGGTTCGGAGATTCGGAGCTTGCATTTATTGCTTAGACGTCTTCAGAGTTGCGCAGAGTCGTAGCTGCTTGCCAACCGAGCAGCAGCCATGCCAAGTTCGAGCACCGATCCAGCTTGAGAGCCAAGTAGGCTGCGCACAGCCGTCCAGACATCAGGTTAGCCAGCATGTATGATAGCTCCCTGGAGGGGCTAACCTGTTCTTGCTACTGCCACCTAGCTAACGAAACAAATTTATCATAGTACGTTATCGCAGGTCAAGTTTCCAGTGGAAGCTTGCAGATTCCTTCTTCCTAAGGCAAGAAACATCCGGTCTCGACGTCGAAACGTGTCACAACCTCCGGGCGAGATCCCAATCGAAGACTGGCGAGAAAATCGAAGGACTCTGCAAGCCGACTGCCCTTGCAAGGGCTCCAAACCTGCCTTTTGTAGACCCACAGATGAGTTCTCAAGCAGTGAGACAGGAAATGATGGCGCTTGGGAATCAGGTCGCCAGGCTGAAGGGTATCCTGGCGAAGTGGAAACGTCGCAGCGTGGACGATCCTCGTGGGGCAGCCAGGCAGTCCTTGCTGCTTTGGAGGCATACCTTCGGCAGTGGAAGGTGCAGGAGTGTAGGCATCCTCTAGAGACTCTAGCATCAAGTTGCTCAACGCTGCCGAAGTGCACTCTCGCATGTGTGGTAGCGAAAACGACGGTCGCACCGATCCTTAAAGGTACAGGCTCTCGGTGCAGACACGGCATTGCGAACTTCGGCATCGTTGTTGGACCCTAACCCACCCAGTAGCTGCGCCAGCACGTAGTTGGGTATGTAGTAGCCAGCATAGGACCTGCAATTGGGTGGGAGGTTGGAAGATGGAGGGTAGGTCGGTGGAGGGTGGGGGGTCTCCAACACGAGACACCGGCGAGAGGAAATGAGAGAAGAGAGACAGAGAGAGCGGGAGAGAGAAATAGATAAAGCTGAGTGAATGACTGAATGGGCAGGTGAGGGAGTGGGCCACTTTCTGAAAGAGCAAGCAAAAGCGAGTGAGGACGTGAGTGCTCGGACATGCTACGCAAGGAAGGTCTACATGCAAGAAACGAGGGGAAGCGGGAGGAGCAAGGAGGTTCAAGTTGAGCAGCAAACGGCGAAAACATCGAACCGTTACAAGTAGTAAAATATCGAGCAAGTACGAGCCTGTTCTGTATCAGGGCAGCCACGCCGACCCCCACCCTCAGCATGTCGTCAACTCCCAAGAACTGCGAAGCAGCTTGACACTGCAACGGGCGCGTCTAACTGCGGGCCGAGCGAAACAGCAGGGTTCAGGCCTCAGGTGAGGCCCGGAGATGTCCCCCCGACTGGAAACCCGGAAACTCCAAGCACCGGACAGCCCCCGGAGATGCCAGAAGAGCAAAGGCTGCCAGTCAGCAGAGCAAAGCCGATGGCCAGACCGAAGTAGAAGTTCCTCGGGCAGCACTGTGCTTTGGCGAAAGCGGCAAGCTAAAGGGCAGGCTCGAGCGGCCTCTGAAAGCTGCTCGTGATGCCCTTCCAACTTCGACGTTTGCGGGTTCTTTTGGCGGGGTCGGGGGCTGCGGGATTCTGTGGAACTCTTGCGAAGCGCTTCCCGCGCCTTTACACAGGAGACCGAGAGAAAGGTCATGCACAGCAGCAGAGTGAACGTAAACCTGCCGCAGCATGCGCCAGCTTCCGGGGTCCGACTTTTAACACACAGCCAGGGCCACTCTACGATGTAGGCGCCACCAGCCGTGTACTTCTCCTTCGATCACAATTCAAGCTCAAATCGACCCCTAAGCCCGTTGTCTCTGGAGATCCGTGGAGCCTGAGGTGCCAGTGTCCATGTTCGACCTCAGCGAGCACGCGAAAACGCTCGGCAAAGCCATCATCCCAATCCCAAAACCTCAAACCCAGTGCAAAGCAAGATTGCGAAATTATCTCGAAGAGCATCACAGCCTCGTATCTCTGAGTCACAGGCTTGGCTGCAGGTGAAGACAAGCGATGACGGCCAAAACGCCGGCCGCCAACTCGCACTCAAAACAATCTAAACCCACGAAGACGACTGTGGGTAACAGAAAACGTTGCAAGTGTAGGGATGAAACGACGCGACATCAATATCGACAACACAGAGATAAGTGTGTCGGCATGTAGGCGCGGATGAGCGGACTCGGTTGGGGGTGGACGGACATTGCCGGGCCAATCTCGATCTGTCTGTTCTTGCTGGAGTTGCTGCAATCTTTGTCGTTGCTGTTGTTAATATTGTCATTTTTGTTGTTGTTGTTGTTGTCGTTGTTGTTGTTGTTGTAAGCCTCTC